CCCGATGGTTAGAGTTCTTCACAAAGAGCCTTGAAGAAAGACATGATGCTCGACGAGTACCTAGAGCGAGCAAAACCCACTGGGATACTCTTGCACGCGACAGGTAAAAATGGAAGATTTACTGGGGCCCACTCGAGTCAGTCGAGATCAACGGGACTACACGTGATGGTTTCCAACAGTGTGAAGCAAGCCAACTCCACATTTTCCTTCTAAACGTGTTTTGAAAGTAGCGACACTTGATGATTCTGATTAGAAGGTTACGATAGAGCGGCAAACCGAATTAAGTGAAATTATCTAATGAAGTTGGCAGCCATTCTTGCTGGGAGTAGAAGACCAAGTGTTAAACGATACAAATTGTTTCTTCTTTAAAGAACGGGAGCGCAAAGTACTAGACTGACCATTCGACAGAGAACGCAAAAGTTATCTATTGCATATCTGGCCTATACAATCATTTCCAGTGAGGAGCTACAGACGTATCAGCGTTTTTCTCCTCTAAGACAAACCAGATTGGAAAAACAAAATGGTTTAAGTCATGTTTGCATGAAGGAGTATGGAGTATTTTTTCGGAATGGATGAAATTATTTTCAAGTTTTAGATAGTGGCAATGGTTTGAAATGAGCATTGAAGTTGGAGAAAAGTATTTTACCATTCTCATCGAAAACAGGAATTGGACCTTCTGCACTCTCCAAGTGTTTTCATCTCATGTTTATCAGGATGTGTCTCTTGTTGTCAACATGCAATGTACAAATACGTTCGCTACACAGTGTAGTCATTGACGGTAAGTAAACATTGAAGCTCCATGGGAACGGGAACCTGCAGTTTCAATTAGGAGTTAAGAGTGTATATCCAATATCACAAGTTTTTGTTAGCCTAAATGAATCATATAACCTGGGATTTCGTATGAAATTCGATATGGAAATCAGTGTTTGCCACGAGCCTCTCAAGCCACCCCGGAGCTGGTATCTCTCGTACTCGCGTTTCGAGTTTTTCTAAAGTCATTGCTTCACTAGATTAGACTTCCTTCCTTAACTAACCTCAAGGGAAAAGTTGGAAGCCTTAAGTTAGTACTTTTGGCTGATCACTTGTGCAAGCACGACGACCATCCGTCTCCCAGTAATGTGTGCAGATAATCATTCGCGAAAAACAATAGCAAAATATGGAAAGAAAAGGCCAAAGACTTCGGAAAGCAGGAAAGGTTAAGAAAATGTTGCAATTTTTGAGGAACTGCCTCACTCTTTCTTAAGTAGTTGGTGATCACGATCATACTTTTGTCTTCTTTGTGCTTCGTATAGCTAACTTCCGCCGCGGTTAAAGTTGCGCTTATCGCTTTTGACACTGAAGCCCTTAGACCACCCAATCAATACCTACAACGAATTATTTACCTGTAAACTATGCATGAACAAATAGCTGGAGGTAAGAGGACTAAAATACAATGGCTAGTACATGGTCTATTATGCGTCAAATCTATGAATGATTAATCACATCTGGTAAAGCTGCGTAAATGTGTGCTAAGGGTGACGATGAGGGTGTACTTGTATGTTTGCTATAAACAGTCCCGTACAATTGCAAAAAAAAAACGCAGTTCCTAACTATGTTACTGAAAATAAGGCTCTGTTTTTGTAAGCAACTAGACTTTTCCAATACCGTCCTCTCTGATGGTTCACCATCGTTGATGGTATTCTTGAGTGTTTTGATGGTATTTTCAGTTTGTTTCATAGTCATTTAAAATGAAACTAAATCCCAAGCTCCATAGTCGTAGTTCTGTTGTAGCGATATAGAAAGAAGGTGACAATTCACCTACGGGCCACAGGTCACTGCTTTTGGTGACCATCTGGGAACACATTAGCAAAGCAACCTTAGTAGATTGTTTTGCACCAGCAAGGGTGAAATGGTAGGGCAAAAAAAAAGAATAGAAAACGAAGAGACCAATATACGAAAACAAGTGTTATTAAGGTGACTAGCGTAGTGGTAGTGGTGGTAGTCTATTACGAAAACTCGTTCAACTCCGCACTGGGCTTGCCATTCTTCCCAGTTGGTGGAAAACGTGCCTGCTATTAGCTCATTTAAATCTGAAAACCTTTGCGGATGATGGTCACCAAAAAATGAAATAAATGCGTTAAGTTTTGCGGTTCACATAATAGGTGGTATTGAGTAATGTAAAAAAAAATCTTGTTGCCCACGACGAGCAAATCGTATCATGGGATATTCCAACGCATCGCTGCTATTTTATTCTTCTATTTTATGCTCCACGTCAGAAAAAGATTAATACCAGTACCGTTGCTGCCCAGCAATATTCACTACTGGCGAGACTGAACCAGGCGTGTCCTTTGACCACTATAGTGAAGTAGTCCACTTAGGATCGAATCAGCTACCACATGTGTTGTAGAGCACCGTTAATCATTAGGAAACACGTGGCCTTCGTTTTTAAATTTTGAATAATTCTTGGATAGCATCGAGACGAATGATATTCTTTTAGCACTCGTCGAACAATGAGTTGACCCGATTTAGATGACTCTACGCTATTGTATTCGCCTCTTCACCACGAATGCAACTGTTTAATCAACGCGTTATCACCTTCGTAGGGAAGTAGGTCTGATGCAGTGTGACCAGCCGTTTAATGTAAAGATGTTCACCATCATGTCAAAGTAGTAAAGTCGCTCAGGGACAGAAATAGTGCATGCGTTGTTATCAAATCCTTAACAAGCCTTCATTTTACCGATTCCGTCGGCTTCCTGACAGTTAAACAGAGGCGACGTGTGAAAGAGTTAATTGCCGATAAAAACTTGGACTCATAAAAACCTATGGTTTTATAGGTATTAAGCCAAAAAGGATGGTTCTTGATTAAGGACGACGTCCTTCCTGTAGACATTTACCGGTCTAATGAGTATTCTTTGGTCCGAGTTGACTAAAGTATTTTTCAGTAGAAACGATACCGTAGAGAATACGTTAATAATCCCAAACGAAGAACAGGTAAGTTGGTTATATGGATAAAAAAGTGTTAATAGTTTTTCTGAGAAGAACACTAAGTCGAGTTCAAGGTAAGGTAGGAATCTACAAGATGTGATGTGTGCTTGTGATTCGTGGTGACTAGTTCTGTCGTTGCTGCGGCGATAACGCTACCGTGGATAACTATCACCAGAAAGAGAAGTGTATGGAAAATGTATCACGTTTTGTACGGCAGCCGACGATGGGCCAGCTTCGTAGGCAACCTCGGTTTCCTAGTAAAATAGGGTCAGCATTATTAGGCAATGTTGATATTTGGACCTCGAAAAGCTGTGTGAGTAGGAGACACAATTTGTAGTATATCAAGACGAAAATGCAATCTCAGCGGTAATAATCAATACCTTCTTGGATTGTTAAGCTAACACGAGGTTGATAAACAGATTTAATCCGGTAAGGTTTCGTCGTTTTCGTCTTTATCAGAGCCGACCATCTGATTATTAAACTGTGAGATTTTTACTCACTGTTCACTATAAATTTTCACTATAGGGTATTTGTGAACTAAAGCCACAATGATGCTGACACATTTGCAAATGCTGAACCACGGACCAGATTCGAACCTGCTACTGTCTTTCCGGGTGGCTCACGCGTTGTCCACTGCTCCACTTAGGCCTATTATTTGCCCTTCTTTCAGCCAGTTTTCCATGCCTAACGTTCCCCACAGCAATCACTCGTCAACAGAGTTGATCTGGCGGTCAAAAATCAACATTCAACACAGTTTAGCTATAACTCTAGTCGAAATTAAATGTTGGCTTTTTGTTTACTGATTACTATGGTTTTCATGGCACGGTATGGTGTGAAGTACAGTCACTAGATTGCTGAGGTCATATCATACACCTCGGATCATCGGCTCTGATGAAGACGAAGATATTGAAACCCTAGCCGAATAAATCTATTTATCAATCTCGTGTTAAATTAACAATCCAAGCGGTTATGATTGAGATTATTCAGTGTGATGTAAAAGTCCACTTTTCAAAGCTGGTCTCAATTACGTGTAATAAGGTCGGTTAGTTATTAACTGTATTTTGTATCTACCAAGATCAGGCGCCCTAGCCCTCCGGCGTTAGCTAATTGCTATTCGGTTTGTCTGGGATCAGTCGACTTTCTTCAATCCACAAATGCTGGGGACTATCTGTGGAAAAGATCTTGAAGGGCCTTAACACGGCATTCTCAGGATTCGTGGGAAGGACGACTCGAGCAGCAATAACCGATGATCATAAAGATGACTAAAAATTCTTAATCAGCAACTGAATCTACGCGAAGTAACCGAAGACCATCGTGGACAATAGTTTCGAGAAAAAGTATCGAATGTAGGAAATGCTGCGAATCGTACAATATGTGCTGTGAGTTCGTGTACAAAATTGTATCTATGCTAGATAGACCGTGGTTTGAGCTTGCCAAAGCTCGCTTAGCCACGAGAAAGCCATTTACACTCGAAAAAGGTTTGCTTTGTATCTGTGTCCAAAGAAGTCCTATATTTCGCTCCTCAGTGCGTGGTGCGTATCTCTGACGACAAAAAGAGGCACCTAAATCTTGGCCGGGATGTTGTGTTGCGTCCACCTTGAGCTCTACACTTTGCAGCATCGCAGCAACAGTAACTCATATCGTTTCATCATTGCTTTGAATTATGTGATTCATTCTCAATTCATTGGAAGCCTGTATAAATCACCAGTTCTTTGCAAAGAAATACGGAAACCAATCTGCCGATTTTGGAGGAATGAAAGGCTTTGTTTGTCTGAAGCTTGGGACCGTACCATCGATCGAGCCTATGTGTGGTGTTTCCTTAACCATTGGGTTACACGTGTTCTATGTATGTATATTTTTTTTATATTTTATTCTTATATATTTTATATATTTTGCACCTATATTTACAACTTTTCCAGAAATATTTTTGAAGAAGTAGCAGTAGAAAAATCGTTCTTTAATCGACATAATAGAACGTTTATAATGGTATAGGATGGGAAAATCATAGGAGTCAAAGGAGGGTAAACTAAGAAAGCTTATTCGTAGTACTTTTCATCACGAAACAAGAAGTCGCGTCTTCTACGAGAGACGACCAATTCGCGTTCTTCTCCTGGGAAAATCGTCTCCAAATTCAGGACACCTCAAATAACAGTTAGTTATTGATCATCGTGAAAAAAATGTACAATCGAGTTATGTTATAGGAATGAGTGAAACGAAGGTGAAAGGACTTCAGCAATACCTTTCCTCTTGCAATTTAGAAAAAAAACTCTTGTGATATATTGCCAGCACTCACCGATATCGAACGTTTTCCTTGGTTTACGTCCTTCCGTGATGTATGACTTGGGAAGATAGAATTTCACTTTACGAGATCCGGGCTAGAAATTATATCCGTCGCGGAAGACAGTAAGCGAATGAAAAAACTAGAGCGCTGGAAAACCTTGATTCCATCGTCACAGTCGTGGTAGACCTTAAGCACGGGGTCAATCGGTGTCAGCTCGGCAGTTCCGCCAGATAGCGAGAACTGGCCGCTCCCGTCCGTGTAACCAGCGTCAAGTTCGTCATCAGGATCGGGCCCTTTGATAAAATAGCTTGTTTCCTTCTACAATACAGTATCGTGCCTCATTAAGAAAAACTTATTAGTTTTGTGTTAGTAACCGAAGCTCATGCTTTGGATTGAACTGCATGCTTGCTATTTCAATCTTTCCATCTGGGAAATCCTACTTTTGCACTTTTGGTTGAAACCATAGTTTTCAAAAAATTTGTCTACGTGTTAAAAGGGAAAGGATTTTTCCGACGCTCAAACCATAAAGCGTTCCCTTTTCTTGACTCTACTCCTAATTTTAGTAAAATCGAACTCATTAAACTTGACTGCGTACCATCATGCCATAGTTTTTTTTTTTTAAATGAATTATCTGATGCATGGCGAGGCAGTTTTTACTTATTTACAGTTCTCGCCGTAGCCAATCGTCCTTATCTCTACTTGAAATCAATTCATTCGTGATTCTTGGGTTAATCGTACTGTGGAGGTTAAGATACGGCAGTTCTCCATGCCATCGATGAAAACGTGAAGCTTCCGCTACATGTTGGCTCTTTAGAAGGAACGGAATCGCATGCCTTCATCGACAAGCTGTTCAGAGATCTGTAGACCGCAATTGTCAGTATTATAGTCATTTTTTGATCTCTATTGAAAATGCTTTTCTTCCCATAAGGGATATTCTGTTTGGTGGTTTGTTTGGGATCTCCTTCTCCTGATCCTTTAAGAAAGTTCGCATGACGTAGAAACCCTTTTTCAAGGTGAAACCTTGCAAGAAACGTAACCTTCACAGAACAGGGTGATTCTCGGATGAAAGAATACTTTAAAATATAACGACGTTGTTTCTAAGAGCTTATTCAAGCTTGAACAATTGAGACTATATCAAACTGACAAGAGCAAGGGAGAGTATTTGATGGACGTAGTAAGAAAAGATATAACCATGTATCCCAAGAGTGCGTGCATTATCCTGTTACCAATAAAAGCAGCCGTCGATTGCTTCCATAAAAGCATTCTAAAAATCCACTAACCATTGTCTTCTTCCCATAGTTTCACTCGTACGTTATTCGCTGGCTTTGTTCCACAAAGAAGCGTTCCCTTCACAGCAATGGACTGGTCCCTCATACCCAGAGCACAGCCGACAATGAGAAAGAGAACGAAGAGGAACTTCATTGGAATGAACTCTTACATAAATCAAAAGTGTTACAAAAAACTGATAATTTGGAAGGCAAACTACTATTCAAGGTGAAACTTCGAGAACCGAGCATGATTGCTGGCAAAACTTTAAAACATCGGTGATCTAGATTCTGCTAAGCTGCTCGAATGTTTTGAGTAGTGTTAAATGAACGATGTATGTAGAGAAAAAGTGAACTGTAACAAAAATAGGAAAAATGCAAAGGAAAAGTGCACTAGCGTTGAGTCGTAACCACTAGAGTTATAAATGTTTCAAAATGCGTGAATGAGTTCACATTAAGAGTACTCATCCAACAACACAAATTCGAAAAAGCTGCATTCTTTGGAGCTGCAGTGCTGTTGTCAATCTGGATCGCTGCCGAATGCAAGATACTCTTATCAGATTCGTACAGTAAACAGTGAAAAAGCAATGGAACCGACTGATTGCCTATGCTCGCCACGCATTGTACACAACATTCACTTATCGTCGTGAAGGACAGTTGACTAAAGTCGACTGCTTGTAAGAGATGAAGTAAAGTCTGTTATTAGACAACTCAACTAATAATGTAATCATTCTTGTTGTTTTTGTACCTGTCCGAACGCAGTCACAAAGTTGCCATTTCTAAGCAGATAGACGACCTTAACGCTTAGAGGATATTAGAACATAAGACAAATCGACAACGGAGTCGTGTGCGTAAGTGACAGTAATAATTCATTAACGTAAGCCAAATGCTCTAGGATCACAGGCCTTTACGGTTTGACTTACATACAAGGAATTTAGGCGAGGATATGCTGTCGTTTAATTTCCTTGAGCAGGATGAAAGCACCACTAACATGCAAGAGGAGAAGATTATTGGAATTCTTAGTGATGGCTCATTGAATCACTTTAAAACCAACGGAAAGACAACTCAGAAAAGAACAAGTGCTGAATAGGGGACTCAATCCTTGACCCATAAAAGAACCTGACTGGAAAGCGTTCACTGCTCTCGAATTGCTGTTTAAAATAGTGTGCTCATCCTTTTAACACGGTCTTTCAAACTGATAACGAGTTCGATAATCCCATGCGTCAATGGACCTATTCTACAGTAGAGTCCAGGGAGCCACGCGTAGGTGCCTCTTGGTAGAGATCAGTAAAAAGGAGCCCCATACAGAACGCATGAGGATCGTAATTCCTCTCGGAGTAGCGAAATCCAATGAGTATCGATGGCACACTAGAGACAAATGGAAACTTTTCTAAGGTCTAGTCGTGGTAGGCAGTGATTAACGGAGGAATTAGAATATAATTAGAAATTCGTCTTACTTAAGATGAAACCTAAAGCGGTGTTTGAACAGTGTTGGTCTCAATTGAGTTCAAGCGTTGCTGTTCTATTCACTACTTTGATTTTGTATGAAAAAGGAAAAAGTCGATAATTCGACGTTTTTCTTCAATAAGCAGACACGAGGTTGTTATCAGAGAATTTATTAGGATACAATAGCTGACGTTTCGGCGGTTTGGCCTTCTTCAGAGCCTGGAAAGGTCAAATTGGGATGCGATCTACCCAGCCAAACACTTTCATAACCCCAGTAGATAAAACTTAGCAAATAAATTTGTATTACCATAAGAAACAGCTTCATTTAAACACCTACCGTTTATTTGTTGCAAGTATTTAAGTTAATTGGTGGATAGTAGCCGCACAGGGGCGAAACCGCCGAAACGTCAGCTATTGTATCCTAATAAATTCTATAATAACCTTGTGTCTGCTTATTGAAGAAAAACATCGAATTATCAACCAATGCCGAGGTTAGCAAAAAGTCGGTCTTGGGAGAAAATCGATAGCTTGCACTTACATCAAGTTGGATCCAATCTGAATTACATGGAATCGGCAAACCATGATCAATGAGCACACATTTCTTTTTGTGTAGGAAAAACTTTAGTATTTTTCACGAATTAGAAACTGAACGTCACTTTTTTTCTCTACTGCCATAACGCATGTCCTTCGATGGCACTGAGACTAGATTGTTGAAATTGCTTTTCACGTGCTGTGAGCAGAAGAAAAGAGAATCTAGAAAGAAAGGAGACGAAACAACCTCGACAGTCCATGGATATCGTGACATGCGTGGGCAGTTCTGGTTACACCTCTCACTCATACTTTCTTTGTATACGTTGAGATATTCAGGCGTGTTGCTTACACATATGAAATTTATATTCTGCACGTAGACATGGACTAAAACTGACAAAAGTGACTGAAAAGTTCCTGCGTATGACATATAGACTTCTCCAATATGCAAGCACCACTTCTGCGCCAAGAAGCACCTCTTACTACCCATGAGGATGACTAGACGACAAAGCGCGGTAGGCTACTTTTGTCCTTCTCATAATAAACGTGAGCTACTATCGAAAATCTTCATTGAAGAGTGATGACGAGTGATGCGACAGTGATGAAAGCGTCCAACGGCGGAAGATACGAATAGAATCTTTTTCACAAAGCTGTATAACACCGTAGAAACCTCTCCTTGAAACATGCGAAATCAGAATAGTTAGGGAAGTTCCTTACATCTTACAAATAACAGCCTTACTTGAAAATATGAGAAGTACTGCTCGCTTTGACAGCATTCATTAGCTTCACTCCAAAATCGGATATGAATTTGGTAAAGATCGGCAGAAAATGGCATACCGTCTCTAAGATTGTTATCGGCTACTTCAAAATTAAGATTGACAGCAGTAGAACGTCAAAAAGCTGTAAATGATAGTTCCCATAGTCGACTTTGTACTAACCTCGGCATTTGTAACCTCGGCATTTGGAAGCCGGAAAAAAACGATGGTTTTTTCAAACGGTGAGTGGTCGTGTAATTACTATTCAGCTTCTCATCATTCCATCAGTGGTGCTGAAGCATTTGACCTAATAGGTTGCGTATCAGTGTACCTTTCCAGGGTCTGAAGAAGGCGACATTGCCGAAACATTAGCTACTGTTGTGTTGTATGTGCTCTATGTGTATAGAAGTAAACGCGTGCTGACTAACAACCTCGCTGCGATTGCCGGAAAAAAGAGAACGACTATAAGTGATCACCATCGGAAATTAACTCCCATGTTTAACATGTAGATAAAAGCTTTTGGCGTCACAGGGAAGCATGATATCGCTTTTGGTTCACGATTATCCTCCTATCCGCCACCTGGGGACGAGCCATGTTGCTTCGCGAATAATCCGCAAGACTTTCCTCTACGAGCGAGACTCGTGGACAGAATCGTAATACATAAAAGAAATGCTCCTAAAAAGAATGAAAAGTTCGTTTTTTTTAGAAGCTTCTTCACAATAAAACTGGACGACCACAATGTTTCACAGTTTGGGGATAGTGTAAAAGATGAACTGAATCCATTGTGCATAATGACGGAACAAAAGTAGAAGGAATCAATGAATATAACTTCATTCCCAAAATGTTCAAATAAAAGCTTACTAATCGCCGTCCGCGTTCATTTGACAGCAATATAGTTTTCAGGTGGACGCTGCGAACTTATGTTCTTCGCTGGTCTCCTGATACTTGGTATTTTTGACACCTATTTCATTGGTTTTGCCATCCTTCATCGCCCGCTTGTCTACATCCCGCAGCGTTTCACCTTCCTTTTCAATTCCTTGAAGGAAGTTTCCGCAAAATTGCGATCGGAATATAATAAGCCTTTTTTAAAGTCTGATGTTCATTGGCATTTTGCTACCGCCTTTTACAGAGAATATTTGCTTCTCACGAAGCTATAGATAGACGACGACAACCACCTGCAGAAGTTGTTCTAGGTCAGACATAGGTATTAACAAATTCATCTACAATAGCGAACGAGTTATCTTCAATAGTTACGATGCCAGCATAATCATGAAAGTCAGAGTAATGACAGTAATCAAGGAGCACAACAAATAATAAGGCTACGATACGATACATGTAGAAAACGCTCATAAAGATTGTCTCAGAGACGATATCCAGTGATAATTCAAGCACTGCGCATCACAAGCTTGTTGGCCACACCGCTTCATTAAAGCCATGAAGGAATTTTATTAATGGAATACTCCGATGTCTATAGAGAAAATTTTTTTCTCATAGAGAATGTTCTCTATTTCGTCACAGTAGCTAGAGCCTACCGTTGTTGGTTGTCCACTGCCTGTGAGGCACTGTTCCCCACCACCGTGTTATGACAAAACTCTGGTTCTGCCTTGAAGGTTGTGTGATGCCATTGTTGACATCCACTTCACAACATTTCCTTGGTACTTCCTCATCACTAGTAGCCTACTTCTCTCTTTCTCTATTCCTTCACAAGCACATTATGAATCCTTTACACATCGATTCGAAGTATTCACGAAAATCGGGTAGATCCTAAGGACGGTACTGTACTTTTTCCGGATATTTTTCATCTTCAATTCTAGTCATTAGAATAAACGCCACATAATGGTTGTCTTCACTCTTTCTCTTCCTATCGATTATTAGTGAGTGATGTTTATCGTAGCTACTTATCTCTTCACCTACATTTCTCGTTTTCGAAGCCGTAACCTTTCTTTCTCTAGTTGTTTTTTTTCTAACAGGAGTATTTCATCTATCTAAAACTTGGCTGACTTTGGTCTATTCTAGAGACGTAGTAGGCGACTTTTTAAAGCTTTATTTTAATGGCTTATTGTACTGTTAGGTCTGCACAAGGTGTTACATAAGCTATTTTTCCTTTTAAAACTGTTATAAACTATGAACTTTTATTGTAGGTAATGTTTCGGTACTTCCTCCTTCTTCAGAGCCGTAGCCATTTCAGGAGAGTGTCCACATACTCTCATTCTTGTGATGAACGTGTTCCTTAACGCATCAAGTTGAATCCAGCACTGCGCAAATCAATATTGATAGCTTGATAACAGTTTTGCTTCAAATCTTCGTTATTTTTTGATGAACAGAGTGGCGCCTATTCAGTGGCTTCGATATCCAAAACCCCACGCCGGGTACGAAAAACAAAACGGCGTTTTTTTGGAAGAAACGAGGCCGTAAATCCGACCACACACATAAAGCATTTGGTCGCGAATGTCTTTCGTTGCGATGCCACTAATTTGTACAAGAACCAGCTTACATTGTGGCTCCACTGCCCACGTTTGTAGCTACAGTGTGGAGAAATAGAGTCATGGCTGCAACGAAAAGCCGATTAACTAACCACTTTATGAAATGCATGGGAATGGTTGAGCAAGTTATCTCGAGTTTATCGTGCAGAATTGTCATAGGTCAGTCGAAAGTTGAGCTTTTTGAGAGCTGATAGATGATTACTTGTGAAGCAAGGACAATAGATGGAAGGTAACCATATGAAGACATCCGACTAAGAGCAACTTCAACGAGGTCTACTGACTTGATAGGGTGAATTCGGCAGCATAAACTATTTGAGTTTTTAGGGTTGTCCTCAAATTTGTTATATTTTATGCACCTAGTCGGATACAGCTCTAACTTTTTAGCTGAATGACGACTACGAGGCGAAGAGGGAGTCAAAGATGTCTTGAACCTCACACGATCTATTAGTACAACAAATTTTTATGCCGAAAAGCGTAGAGCAGCGCTATTCTCATGCCCTTCCGGGCGTACTGGTTTCTTGGAAACAGAAGAACAGTTTTTGGTAACTGGATACGTGAGCGGTTGTGAGCGTGTCAAATCTGTAAGACTTTGCTCTATAGTCGGAGAAGGGCTTGAGAACGGCGGGCTTAGAGAAATCGGTAAGCGTAGTTGAAATACCACCGAGTAATCTTAAGCGCCAGCTAGTTCCTAACCGCCTATATGACCGTCTATGTGCAACTCAAAATTGCATAATTTGCCCCAGTGGTAGAGGCGGTGATTGCATGAGCTCGGGTATAGTTTATCTGATCTCCTGTAAGACGTGTGGTGACGAATACATTGGCGAAACGGGTAGACCCCTCTGTGTCCGCATGAAAGAACACCTAGCCGGCAAAAATAGACCAAATACCCCGCTAGGCACGCATAGGACCCAGAGACATAACGGGGACGACTTCGAAGTATGTGTCACGATCCTCGCACGCGAATCGAGAACACAGGCGCGAAAAACTCTCGAGGCACTCTGGATTAATTCCAGAAATCCGAAAATGAACCGCAGGGAGGAATGCCTCGTTATCACGCGCGATATTGGACAATATATAAACCTGTTATTCTGATGGGAGGAGCACATTACGCTTCCATGTGAATTTGCTGCGGTCGGTCTTCACCCGACATACTCAGTGGAAGACTTATAGAAAGCGGTGAGCGTGCAGAGCTATGCTAAATGTGATTGAAATCTTGGTTTAGCGTTTTCTCTGTTTGGTTATGGAGGTGTTTGGCCGAATGGATTGCTGTCAAGTTGACCCTTCCAGGCTCTGAGGAAGGCTAAATCCGCCGAAACGTCTGCTTGTGCGTAAATAAAGAAATAAAATAGCACCTCGCGCTTGCTGAACAGAAGTAGAAAGATACTTTGCTCTATGTTTCTATAAGTTTGAACTGCATGAATATTATTGTTTACTATATGTTACTGTCGTCCACCATACAGCTATGTGGAGGTCAGCATTTCGAACTGTTCTGAACTTACGTTGTCCGTATTCCTACACTTTTTGTATCTGCTTGTTCTATAATTATTTACAAGAAGAGCAGCTAAAAAGCTCCATGCGGAACACAATTGGTCGGAAAGAAAGCGACGGCTACAAAACCCACTGCGGCCATAGTACCACCACGTACGATTGCTACTGACGCCACTATATAATGTAATGTTAATTAAGGTTAATGAAGCATTTAGATTCACAGCTAGACACTGCTTGACAACACGAGGAATGTCTTTCCGATCTTTCCTCATTCGATAGTAGTTCGTCGTTGTCAAATTGTCGACGTTTTCTGCCTACGCCAGTATTACCATTTCATCAAACCGGAAACAAGCTATGGGTTAACAGCAAAGCTAATATGGAGTCCTCGAGGTTAACTAAATGTGTCTCTCCTAGTTAAATGAAAGTTTATGTATGTAACACAGTTGGCAGACTGGTTGTTCAAATCTATTTTACACTTTGTTCTGCAATCATGTATCATCGTCATATAATTCTGATAACACTGGAAATGAAACAAATGCTAATCAGGAAGCACAAAATTTATTGCTCATTTTACAGGATCCATGCAACTCTGTGGCTAGAGGTTTCATGGAAAGCATTATGGATCAGTCGCTGGCTCGATCGCGACCTCTCGGGTTCACCAGACTTTTCATCGCTCTTGTGTTGGCAAATTGGTACCAGACTTGTTTGTGAGGATAAAGGAAAAACACTAACTTGATACATCAGTAAACTACCCGAAAACATTATATGGCGAGATAAGCATTAAGCCACCTCTCACGATGCCTAATGAAGTCGTATGCATGGCCCTTCCCTCAGGGATTGATCAGTCGCAAAACACTATAACCCTTTTTAACGTTTATTTATTATTCCCCAGCGTTTTCACACGGTACATGAGAACTGAAAGACCAAAGGCGAGATGTAAGTCAATTAATTGGAATTAAAAAGTGCTTCACCCTTCACACCACTCGGTAAGAAGCTTCGTTGACAGAAATATTGTCACGTAATTGAAGCTTTGAAGGCAAGCTAGAGGCATAAAGTAGTGCGTTCCTCGCTAGTCCACCAGGAGCCAGTGTGAACGCGTTGTAGTACCAAGTTTAAAAATGTCGTAACACAGCTATTATTTGTGTACTGCAAAAGCTCATTTCTTTTCCTTATTCTATTCCAAGTAGGTTCGGGATTACATCTTGTCTTTATGCTTGTGCACGTCACATAACGGGAGAGTCAACGGTGTAGAGTCCTGTAAAACTTCGGTTTGGGATCGATGCGCCGGCAGGTGAACATGAACCGCAGTCCTTGACATCTGGAAGCAACGGATTCACACGTAATAAAGTGCATTTCAAAAATAAATTCTTCCACATTAGTGTCAAAAGCGCTACATTCAACAGCGTGACAAATTTTGCTTCACTGGAAGGCTGCTCGCTATCTCATTTCCTGACTGCGGTGAATCAACTCTGGGATTTTCTTCATAATGCCACACTTCTTGTACAAAAATTAAAACTCACGTTAGATGAAGTGAAAAGTATGAACATTCAGCTTTTCCCACTAAGTTCCCTGTTTTGCGAAAGCACCACTCTTACATAAAACACTCCCACATTATCTTACCTATAAAAACCTCAGTTTCTGTATGAAACCTGTCATGCTTATGGAACTACTAGTTATGCTACTAGCATTAGAAACATCGATCTGACAAACTACCGCAAAAAACCATGCTGGAGGCTGCCATGAAGACTTTTGCATCTCTTTCGGCTTTTAGATTGTTTTATGATTGCTTATACGGACCTGCCATAGATGAATGGGTTTATCACACTGTTCAGCACAACGAGAAACGCCAGTGGGAACATAGCGTCTTGATAATTGCGATAGGAGTCAAACGAAATCACCATCCACCTAAAATACACAGGTGTCAGACTATTCCGTAATCTCTTATGGAACTGCATTGCTTAGCAGTGATTCAAGCTTCGTTTGGTGGGTTTACTGGATCTTCACCCAAACCTTCATAAACGCTTCAACATCCCACACTCGAGTTTTCTTGACCGAAGCATCCTCTAAAGCTCTCAGTGGACAATGAATTATTGTACTTCTATTTTCTTTTTTTTTCTGGTACTCCGTCATCTTTTATTCCTACAACATCTCTCTTTCTATCTCCCTTTCTTCACTTTTTTTCTTCGTTCTACTCTTTCTTTTTACCGTCGTCCCTAAGTATTGCTTTGTTTTCTATGACGCAGAATCTGGTCATAAAGAATTTATTACTTGTTCGAGACTCGAAAGCCTGCAGTCAATAACACTTCGATCCCACGGGAGTCTACTGCTTACCACTCTGGATTTTTATGCTTAAACAACACCGTCGTCAGTCTTCAAATCGGAACTCTAAGCGAATTTAGTACGGAACGACAAATTACATCGAACATTTCTACAAAAATCCTGGAAAAATACGTTCCACTAGATCTTTGCAAACAGCAGCTCTTTCAGTTGAATGGAATAGACTTTCCGATGTAAGCTGGCCGATGCTGTTTCTCTTAAGTAGTAACTAATGGGGCCAATAAGACAATAAGCTCGGTTATGTCCATCACTATTGGCAAGCCTGAAAAGAAAATGTCTGGAACCCACATTTCCAAATCATAGCATTTTCTTTTACTTAGGGATCTGCTGCTAACGCTAAGACTTGGTCATCCATGTACTATTGTAAACGTTTCCTTTAATTGATCAGATAAAAAATTCGAATCGAAAAATCGGAAATTTCTAAAAACACTTTTTAAAATTGACTTGACACTCGATACTTGAACGGCCCGTCCTCACTGGTTGGCAGGGCCCCAGCATAATCACCACTTATCGGAGATTTGCTGGTTAAGCCATTGTGGCTCCCTGGAATCTCGAGGTCAGCCTGGCCAAAGTCTGCCCCACGTCGTCACCACGACAGACAGTCTCAGCCTTTGTGGATCAGAAGGGGATTTGCCACCATGCGACTTTGATACCAGGATGGTGGCGGATCCCGGTATTGGTTTACTCTTAGTTAGGCTTCCTGATGGAAACACCGGACTCCTCAGCTTGGGAGATCCTGCCAGAGGATGAATCCTTCGCTGTACATCGAAGTCCGACACCCAGGAATACCTCCCATCCACGATAAGGTGGTAAACCATTGGGAGGCTTTTTAAAATTACTAGTGAATAATATGAAAATACGAGAATAAAGCGCGGGCTGCACAGTGGTACTCGTCCGATCTCCCACCAGGCTCACCAAGCTTTTCATTCCTCCGGGGTCGGGAAATTGGTACCACACTTGTTTGGCAAAAGTTCACTCTTTGCAATCCAAGGCCAGCTACCTCAGGACCCCAAGGCTAGTCAACTTGACTAGCAATCAGCGACATTCATGATGACAAGGAAGTCCTCGGTAGGCCGCCGAAGCCACAGCTAGAGGGCTGGAAGACCTGTGTCGATTATTGGTGCGGGTCGAGTACGGGAGGTGCTGGGATCCGTAAAGTAAATGTGATAGACGGATCGTGTAAAATGCAAAGAAACCTGAGAATACCATGAAAGAAGATTATTTGGAAGCCATGTGATGACGTAGACCAGAATAAGCAGTAGTGTTATCCTCAGCGAGCGTATCTTCGCATGACGAAGCTTGTCCTGGCCTCGCACCGTTCGAATCAGCAGTACTGTAATAGAAGTGATGTGCTCATACAAATGATAAAAAAAACGATATTAATTCAAGGTAGACAGTATAGAAAGAGTCGCAATAAAGATTTGAGAAGCTCAAAGGGTCATTGCTTCATGTCTCGTTGATGAATGTATGACGTATTGAGCAACCCGGTAGAGTGTGATTATCTTTAAATGGAGCAATAAAAGCGTGCTCGTAAAACGTACAGTGCTGAATAGGAAAAACATTCTGTTACACTAAAAAAACACCCGAATAGGTAGCTAAAAATCAATTAAAGTATCAGGCACACATAGAGTAATCCCTGAGCGTTCAAAGGAATCTGTGCCCAATGCGGGTAAAATGTAGGTGTTGAGTTTTATCTTCACAGGCTATGAAAACCTCCGGGTGAATCGGTTGCGGATCAATTCGAAATATAGAGGCTTTGAAAAAATCGAAATCCGTTGAAAAAATAGCTACTGTCGAGCGAGTAAACATTGTTTCAACAACATCGTGTCTACCCGTCAAAAAAAGCGTAGAAACGGTATAGCAGTTCTTAATAATTTTGTACACTTTTCTAATTGCCACACAGTGTCCTCGTTCAATCCTTGTTCAACAGCAAAACCCATATCAATTACTTTAGTTGATAACTAGTCAAAAATTTAATTGCTGTGAGAGCGATGCGATGTGCATGAGACAATTACCTGTTCCAGCCTTTTCTTTCCTCTTCATGGGCGGCTTTTTGGTTGCTATGGAGTTCTTGCTTAACTCAGTAAGGTACCACGCTGACGACATTTCTTGTTCGGTTTTCGAGTTAAGAGTTTTGTAGATGTCCTGCAAAGGCGCTTTCGCTCGGAGAAAATTTTTTTTAGAAAACAAGAAGTTGTTCAATTCGATAAAAGGTATGTATCAGTATGTACCCATATTCCAGAAATGCTTGGTGAAAGATATTACTTGTTGGGCCTTGCTAGAGCTTTCTAACGATCGAAGATAGTCAAAATTCTAGATCTGTCATTAGAGTCTTTTTTAGATTTCCGGCTTTTATTCCTTCGCGGAGGCCGCTGAGCCTAGTGATGTGAAAAGAAGCATTGGGTGATCATCGATATTTTACAGACGCACCGTGGAAGACTTTATCGTAGAGGTGATTGAATACATGTTCGGCCATTCCTGACGCTACCGAGAAGGGCTAGGTGCGAGCTGTACGGCTCGAACCAGTAACATATTGCAGCGTGCTCCTAACCAATGCGCCACCTGAGCTCAATCACGTTGTTGTTTTCAAAAAGTCGTGGTGACTAAACGCTCCGTTCAGTGATATGCACAATTTCCCTGGTTCGACGCGTCCACGAGCACCCTAGCCACCTATCCATTCGGGATCGACTAGTTTGCAACAAACTTCTCAGGAAGAGACTCATTCCGATTAGAAGCATAGCGATTGCAAGTGGTGAAGATGTCGGAACATCGTACCACTGCCATCTCTAAGTTACGAGGAGAAATTATTAAAACATCGTTCACGGTCATTCATGAGGCAGACCATGGTGCCCATGGATAAGGAATGTGAGGAAACGAATATGCTGGAAGAAGAGATGGGATCCGCACGATATGTAACTTCATTTCATTTAAACAAACAAAACAATGAAAAACTGTATTTGGGCACGTCGTTTCATCAATGTTTCCACTCTCACTGATACTTTAAAGTATTAAGACTAGCGACGAAACAAGTCGAGCAGAATGCCGAAGCAGCAAAAGAACAGCGTAAAGAATTAAAGATTCCTGACTCCTTGTTTCGACCAGATTCACCAAAGCAGAAAAGACTTTCCATATTTCCACCAAGAAAGCAATTTTAGAATAAACCAATCTTGTAATTCGATTCCGCTGAGAAGAAATTGGGTTGGAAGGTGGTAAAGCTCCTTCGGATTCTGAAAGTCCCGCAAATGCCTGAGGAATTGGGAAAGTCCTAGCACGGTTGTATCGAGACTACAGAAAGGGGAAACGCCCCTACGCAATGAATCACTACTCAGATACCTTTAAAGTATAAGCTAGTAACTTCTTAACGATGTAAATTCGTTAAAGCATACAAATTCGCGTCCCGTTAAGCACTTTTTCCATAATTAGGAATTACACCGTCTCTGGGTTCTATGGGGTATTTGGCGTAAATTCTACCACTTTTAAAGTATGCTTTACTTTCACGACTTTTTGATGGTTTCGATACCCTGGAAAGTATTTAGTAAACTTCTCTAATAATCTTAAAAATCAAGAACGAGTAGGAAAAACATCACCTTCAAAATGAGGACGTAGCAAATAACAAGAATCACTAAGGGTACATAGAATGTGGTGAAGGCATTTTGAATCCCGTAGAGCTTCATAAGCGTGAAGTCCAGTTCCGTCATTTGGCTTTGGTTCCAATTCAAAACAATTTTTTCTGTCCATATTGTCACACACTGACGAATTCTCCCAAAGTCCACCTGGAATGAAATCGGTTGTCTGCATCAACTTAAAGCATGCAGGTTGACTATCAGTGATTATGGTATAGATACTAGGAGAAAAAAAGGGAAGAAACTGCAAGGTGTTAGTTTTCTTTCCAAGCAACTGAGGATGTAATGAATTTCACATACGCGCCAATGAATATTATGGTGGCTTAGGGAAATATCTGCATGCCTTTGCTTTCGACAAGTTCTTCGAAACAAGAAACTGTCGCTGCTTTATTTTTCACGATGTTGATACTATTCGGTCAAACACCAAGGGCACTTGCGTAATTTAAAAGTCGAGTAGCACTTTCGAAAACTACGTTTCGTTTCTTGATCCTTCCTGTTTTCTAAAGAAGTTCGAGGCTATTATCCACGAATACGCAAGAGTGTGCTCTCGTCTGCTTTTACCCAATAAATCTCTGCACACATTCAGCTTTGGATGGACCGTAATGTCTAATAATAATAAGAAGAATACGCAATCCACCTGTCTCCAAACGTATAGTTGTGGCAGCATGGAAACGGCGGCCAACAGCCAGCTACCCAGAAGCATCCTGCGGAAGCGGCTGTGCCCCAGGGCCGACATCCACAGTGGGTGGCGCAGTGCGTAGAGTCGGTAGAGCGCGATGCACACCATAATATTGGAACTGAAAATGGTTACTGCTCACTTAAGAACGTACAGAAGCATAGTGCATAATATTGAAACAGAAGAAGAAGAAGAATATTCTCAGCAAATTCCTCTCGTTATATGACCGCTCAACTACAAGCTGCTTGTCGATGGACTTAAAACTTGTAGCGAACTCGCTAGCTTTCTTCAAACAAATGATTTGGACCGCATCTCTATCACCAAATAAAAGTGGGGCTTGATTCCAAGTAGCACAGTTAATACGTCCAGTTACATATCTATTTGCAGAAGAATTTTACAAGAAGATTTGCGTCAGCACAGGCACGAAAAGTTGGAGACAGCACGGAATAAACCATTCTGAAGAGATGCCATCGGAGCCCGTGCGAGTATAATGTTCCGCTGCTATCCCTGATGAACGAAGGTACAATAAATAAAAATTCCCATTATGACATGGAATTGATAAAGAAAATGTTCTGCGGCAATCTGTTCCGTCCCAGTCCCATCATCGTTTTCGATAACGACATCCTTGCTAAGAAAAAAAAACCAGCCCGGATTCTACTCTGAAGTTCGAGTTGCGATAAGAGGCATGAAGAAGAAGGCATGAAGACAGCTTCATGACCCGATGAAATGACATCTCAATTCCTTCGAGATAGAGTTCACAAATCACGCGTACTTCTTGCAAGGCACTTGAAATCTTGCCTTCATAAGGAAAGAATCTTATAGCATTTGATACCTGGCAATCCAAGTTAGGGAAGGTGAGCAAAGGAATCTTCGTAAGTATCGCTCGATATGCTTGCTTAGTAAACTCTACAAGTAGCTCACAAAGAGTATCCTATTGAGCATAACAAAGACCCTGGGTGAGACACAATCAGCTGAGCACGCAAGATTTTCACGGCGATTGTGATGCTGCATCCAAACGATGTCTCGGGTCATGGAAGTTTGTTGTAGCACCTGCTCCTAGCGCTAACCTTTATTGACTATCAAAATGTGTCTGACAGCGCTGAAACGATTGCAATCCTATAAGCACTTTTGACTAAGAGTAGACTCACCCTCTAAACGAACTCTGATTAACTCTTGTTGGAAATTCAGCACAAAAACAGATTTTTTATCGACGTCTCACTATACCCGTAGAAAAGGGAGTTGGATGAGGCGACAAAATCTTGTCAAAGTTTTTCACCGTAGCATTGTAGTGGATAACTAGATCGCTGAACTGAGAAGAAAAGAGCATAATCTTTGATGGCAGAACCCTGTTATACCTTGGCTTCGAGGATAACATTGTCATCTTTTCAAGGACTGCCAGTGAAACAGAGAAACAGAAAAATACTTGGTGAACTCAACAGAGCGGAAAAAAGATTGAACTCCGCATGAATTGGACGAAGATTCAGTTCATGAAAGACCCATGGTGCGAAAGTGTAAGTATATTTTGGGCGCTCAATAAACACGAAGAACAACATGGAATTACACACGGGAAGGGGAGCTGAGTAGGTCGAATTCAGGCCTCTCAAAGGAGCCACTGGTTAACAAATGGACCCAAAACTTCGCTCTCAGCTTTCCGATTCAAGGCTCCTCGCAGCGCCGTGTTCTGCAGCACAAACGTGACTTGATACTTCAACCACGTCGAGAACACTGTACACTACTCACAAAGTGCTTGAACGATGTCTTTAAAATATAACCGGTACACATAACAACAATCCAGAATGTGAAACTCTATTCTTCGAAATTTCTCCTATCTTCCTTCGATACATTTATAGGAGAGAGATGAAGCGAAGACACATACATGGAAAAGCGTAGATGGGGAGACCTATCACAAGAAGAACAGACGAAATATGGGATGGGCGAAAAGAACTGTGGAGTGGATTCCACAAGCAATCAGAGATCTCCTAGGACAACCATCTACACGTTGAACGAACGTATTTTGAACTAAAATCAACCAGCTCTACTAACGTTGTTTTACAGATAACCGTGTGAAACTCGCATTTGTTACAATGTTCAAAGCGGATCACCGCCATGGACGAGGAATACACGAAAGAAAACTAACTGGAAATTAAGCTGGGAAACGTACTACCATTGAATGCATGCCATCCAAGTATCAAGTTCTTCACCTACGAACTTCATTAACTTCTGTCTTAACTGACCTGATAGACAAAACGAAGACGTCGACGAACCGCATTACCTTGCACAGCAGAGCTCCCCCTCTCCATTCGAGGGTGATCAACCAACCGACTAGTCCTGGCACATAGGCTCCCAGCACCTGAAATAAATCGGTGTACAAGATTTCGTGCTGCTTAATATCACTGGCTAGTAGATGGGTGAATAATTCAACGACAGGCTCTGATGGACTGTGCTAGAGAATTCTTTGAACTACAGATCATAACGCTTGTCTGTACATTATTTACACTTATTATTATTGCAAGCACTCTCTTCTTCAGCTGCCAATTTGTTTAAGAGAACTGACATTAAAGCACAATAGTTCCCCAGAACAAGGTTTCGATAGAGTAATACCGTATGAGATTCCCACTGGGTTTTCTACACTGTGATTTTTTTTGTGGGAGATAATGCTCTAGACTGGCATTCTTTACCATTTAATGATTAACTAGAGCACTCTTAAACGTATAATAAATACTGGTGAGAATAATAACTGGTGAGATACTCAGGCTTAAAAGAGAATAAGGTTTTCTTATAGAAAATCGAATGGAATGATTTTATGATTTTTCTGTCTCAAACCAGTGTGGAAATTGCGCTGCAATACAATTTCAGTTTTTCTGTAGTTAAAACCACATTATAAAACGTGGAAAGGTAAGGATCGACTTACTAGCAAGTCGGAAATGTTAAGGTTTATGTGAAGGAGAAGCAGAAAGCTCTTCGCACGGCGGTATCGCCCCAGCATGTAGATTAGAGTGGAGATGTTAACGGGAAGGCCGATGAGCATGAAGGTGAGGAAAAATACCATTTGTAGGTAGTCAGAGACCTCATGGCGCATTTCAACGGAATCCGAGATCTCCTGCATGGAACCATCCATGGCGACAGACTTTCCTGCACAGTGCACTGAATCCGACACTATGCTTGAGCCTGTAGAATCAGGTTAAAACGAAATATGCCAGGAACAAAAACATAAACGCAGCACTGAATCCATTAAAGTAGAGCACATCAAACCCTAGGATGTCATTTTCCAGAAATGATATGATGATTCGAACTAATGTCTGAGTGCAAACGTAGAGTGAAATATGTTACGGGACGAAAGCTGCACTTTCCACCTGATCGCTCTACTATGCAATCACGATTGTGAATAACAAGAGAAGGGCATTTACACTAAAAGAGTCAAAATATTGAAAACACCTCTTAAATATGTAGTTAAGCTTCGAGAAATGAAAAACATAACTTTCATGAGTAACTGCGCGATGCTAACATTTGTCTTAAAAACATAATTTATGATAGAACAAAGCGAAACAGAGAGTATAACAACGAAAGAATCAACATAAACAAGTAGGCCATTTAACGAGGAGCTGCCTTCATCAACAGGACCACTGCTGGTAAGCCGAGTCGCGTATATTCAAATATGCTCCATTGCCAGAAATGAGGAAATAAGAATAAATAGGATGAAGCAGAGATGGACCTGCGGTCTGTGGCTTTTCATCTTAGCATTTTTTATTGATGGAATACCATTTTATAAGCTTTGTCCATTAGAACGGGAACTGAAGCTAGGAAAACCAGCACCCAGTTGGACGGTATGGACGGTAAATTGACTGCTCTACCAATATTCACCAGAAATGCTGCGCGAAACTGCACATGGCATGCTAGCTTCCTCAACTTTTCACGATAAAGTAGAAATTTTTTAACCAAGTGATTTAAAAGTGTTTAAAAGTGACTGATGTATGACAAACTCATCTGGTACCTCGTTCCTAAGTGCCGGTATTTGGCTCGGAGGCATTTTATTAAAATTTTGTAGATTTCTGTGTGCCATTTATTTTAAGACTACTTCGCTTATTAGGGGCGCGTGTGGCGCAGTGGCCAGAGACGCTCTGCAAGACACACGTGAAATCGATTCTCGGGCTCATGGCCCGCCAAACGTTCCATCCCTCCGGTGTCGGCAAATTGGTACTAGACTTGTATGTGGGTATAGCTGCACTGGATCGATACATTGGTAGGCGACTACGAGTCATTGTAAAAGCTAGATATGCATTAAATCACCTCCAGCGATGTTTAATAAAGTCGAATGTATGGCGCGTCCCTCAGCGATTGATCGGTGCCGAGAACTTCATCATTTTATTTCTCTCTTTTATTTTCCGGATACTTGGTCTTCCAACTACTGAACTGTTGGTTAAATTGATTCCTCTTGAAGTTCTGGCATATTCGTGCTAGGTGGTTCCCATTTTTTTTTATACTAATTTTGGAAAATAACTGAAGAAATTCCAGTAAACAACTATTCCCGATAGGACCGAGTAGAATATTTTCATTGTAGTCTCATGAAATTCAATATTCCATTAGTGTAAATACTTTTTCTCTAATGTGCTACAATGCGAGCATAGCGCATCCAAAAAATCACAAATTTATTATCAATTCACCATGCCAACCATGAACTAACGCTTTCAATTCCATGAGCGACCTTACGATGATGCGCGAATATCCCCCTTCCACCGAATCTGGAAGAAAGATACACTATTCTTTTTTGGCTGAAGTCATTTGCTCTGCCAGAAACAAACCATGGTCGAAAAATAGCTATTCGACCATGAAAGAGTTGAAATAAGGAAAATTAGAAAAGTTGGTGTTTCACTTTTTCATATACTATCCGGTACCACTGTGTTCAATTTTCAATCTTTGTGGTTCATTCTTTTTCAACCAGAATCAACCATGAGATTTCGTCACCGAGTGAAAAGAGGATAACAAGCGCTATACAGTGAGTACATCCTGAAAGAGCACCTAAAGATGAGTGATGACCGCTTAAATAGAGGACGACGAGATGGTAACAAAAGGTGTTGGAAGATTAGCTAATGAGAGCTTGTTGACTCAAAGATAAATAAGTTCAGGGCATCAAGTAAGAGCAAGCTGCTTATTTGGAAAAAGCATCTTTGCACTACTATGGCTCAATGAATGATCACCAACGTCATTTTTGGGAAGGCAACAGAGCTAGGTTCTCACCAATTCCAACAGTCGACGATTATAAAGACAGGATAATAAGAGAAAAATGTAAGGTGCACGAAGAACATTTCCTTGAGATCTTTGCAGGTATAACAATCCCCCTTCTACTTTGCTCAATGGTAAAAAGCGAAGTTTTCCCAGTGATTTCCCAGACGAGCGCAGAGCTCTCATTCGGATCTTTTCCATTCCATCGTTCATGCACAACTCGGCACATCTCTACTGGAAAGCACTCTCAACTATTCTTGCTCCAGAAATTCGTGTTGGATTTATAAGCCTGAAGCTTGACAGAGTTCCTGGACAAGACAATATTTTGGCTGCCTTTGCAAGCTGGCAGCAATCACCGGCGTGGGACATACATCACCTCATATCTGAAAATGGAACGGATACTCACCCATGGAGCACTTCGCGCTTCTCCTCCTACAAAAAGGAGTAACAGGGATGCCGCTTGCAGTTGTCGTTTGATCGGTCTATTGAATTTGGGGTATGAGTCTTCTAATAAAGATGCCTACGCGTACTTTGAGGAAAATGGATGAACACTTTTTTTCACCACGAGAGAGTACTTGACAGTGTAGGCGGCAATGCTCTCCTATCCATCTTCGTTGACCAAAATAAAGACAAGTTCATCGTTAAAACGTTTGTTGACCGCAGCAGTTATTGTGCACCTTCTTTACCGAAAAGTAACTATTCCTGTTGATATGATGCAAGGTTAGGGAGTGGCGCCAAAACTCTTGGCCCACTAAACTGGTCAGTCGATTGTAACCAAAGGGACATATGGGTTAATGGACGATAAGCTTTAAGCACTTTCCAGTTTTTTTCCTTTTCTTTCCGAAAGCCTCATATTTTCCAACAGTGTCGAAATCAGAGGCATAGATCTCAGTGGAACGTGGAAAATGATAACACTACAGACCAATGAACAATTAATTTTAACATTCAAACATAAGTTTCCATGTTTCAAGGAACGCCAAGCGCACACCACAGTAAGACCTGTAGCAACAGTCAGTCTTTCTCAAGAAGTGCTTGAATAAAAAATGAAACGATTATTGCGTACTGTGAACAAAAAATCCGGTAGAGAAATGGCATGGAATAACGAGGAATGATGACTTCACTGGATAGAACTCGATGAGAACCCCGTAGTGAATAAGAATGTTAAAACGAACGTAAAGAAATAGCTGAGGTTTCTTTTTAAAATAATCTCACAATATTGCTTGCTGTGCGAATGGAAGGAGGTAAACTGGAAAGTGCTGTTTTGACTGAGGAGTACAGAAAGCCGTAGACCGCGTGAGCTTTGCTTTAGAAGATGTGATCTCTTCTATGCAATTAGACAACAATTGTATAGTAGCGCGAGAAGTGGGAAAAGCGCCGTGCCAAGGATTGTAGGGTGCACAAGTTCGTTCTCACCATAACAAACCCTGTCTGGAGAGTTTGTTTTGCCACCGGCTTTTCTCCATGGTAGTGCATTGTATTTTTGAGTATGTTCAATAGAATCCTTGGGTTCAAAATGCGGACGAGCACTTTAACGCATCGTCTGCCTATATGATTCTCTTAGACCAGTGAGGCAATAGGCCATCATTATCCATTCTAAGGACCTCGAGAAATTGTGGACTGAAGGATTTGTCCATAAACGCATGGTTTCTTTGCCTAGAGAGGAATACATGGGTATTTCGGGATCAGCCAGGGCACTGTTGATGAGTTGAAGTTTTAAAACCTCTCAATGTCTCGATTCCTCATTTTATTTTGCACTACTGCCCTTTTGTTAATGAAGTATGAAAAACGAAATCCTTGCAGTGTTCGTCCTTTGTGAGCCAGGATGGCGAGATTTTTTAAACTCTTATAGCTAAATTTCAATCGGCCGAATAAGGTTGTTCCCAAAAAATCTGGGATTTCAAAAGTAGCAAAACATTGAAAAATAAAGAAGATGGACTACTTAGAGGGCTAATGGGAGTGTCCCGGATGGTGTAGTGGTGAAGTGCGCTGCTCCCCGGTAAGGACAGCAGCGCTAGTTCGTTCCCCACTGCATACACCTGTGGTCCGGAGTTTTGCAAATATCTAAGCATTTCATACGAGCTAATGGGAGTATCAAGAGAATTTCCTCCTTCGTGCTTACCATGATAAACAAAAAGGTTTCGTAATAAACATAATTTTTATTCATAATCATTCATAAAATTCGTAATTTACAATCCAATGCCGAGGTTAATAGAAAGCCGATCTTGGGAAAAAGGTTTCATTTTATTCGCCATCAGTCATTGTTATTTACGGTAGTATAAAATTTTAATGCTTACCTAAGTAACACCTATTACTCTCTTGGATACTGGCAGCTGCGATTCTACATGGTTCTTTGGTTCTCACGCTGCTTACCATTTCTTCACTCCTACTTTCGTCTTTATTTTGGTTTTAATATTGCTTCCCAATCAACTAGTAGGAGGAAAGAACGAAAAAATCGTTGCCAAAAAGACACTGCCCTCCGATCCACATCGTGGTGAAGACCTGAAAGCGCCCTTGCAAATGTAAGTCAGGACTCCAGGAAGGATTCGCAACCAGCAATAGACCAGCCTCAGTACTAAGTACACAAGGTGCTCCCATCTTCGACTTCAGACGACCGGTTAGAATCCGCAAAATCTCTGGTTACGTAGGATGTCACTGAAGCCGAATCTGACGAACAAACGCAAGACAGGTCACCGAGATTATTTCCTACTTTGCATGTATAATGCCAGAACACTCTCCACAAACACCGATCTTCATGCCCTTCTTGAAGCGGTAGATTGCATGAAATTTCATGTGGTCGCTCTATAAGAAACAAAACCATGAACACCGACATAAGCCAACTAAACAGTTTGACCTTTGTTATCAGTGGAGAAGAGGCTTCGTCAGGACATGTAGGTGGCGTGGGTCAATTCATACGAGATCCTTCGTCGTCTCATGGCCATCCTCCTTCTTAAACCAATACGTCATAAGAAAATAACAATCATCACTTGCTACTCGCCGGCCGATGCTGCTGATGAGTATCAATTAAATGCGTTATATTACCAGTTGTAGGGAGTTATCTGCAAGATAAAGCATATTATAAATTCGTTGTCAGAAACTTCAACGCCAGAATAGCAAGAACTAAAAAAAGCGAATACAGAATCGGAAAATTTGGATTAGGAGAAAGGAGCGAGCATGGGAGCGGTCTTGCAGGACGCCTGTCTGCAGCGCACCTCCGTCATTTTCGAGAAGAAAGAAAGCCGCCAATGAATACAGGAGTCCCTAACGGCACGACTCATGAGGAGAATTACCACATTATCACAAACATAAGATATTACCTACTTGACAAATCTATGGTCCCAGCATTCTGTACTGAATCCGGTCATTGTTTTCTTCGTAAGATTCAATTCAGCCGTTGGCTCAGAAAGAATTGTTAGGCAGAAAAGAAGAAAGAAATATCATTGACCAAAAAGAAAATATCAAGCTGTATAAGGTGAGAACATCCTGAGCATAATCCTATCTAAACGTGAGTGACAGATTAAGGAACACCTGGCCAAATGCAACGAGATGTTTGTAGTATGAATTAAAGGTGCGCCGAATTCGACCATGTTCCTCGAGAAAGAAGAGCAGATCGCATCTCCATTACTGCTGACTAGTGATTCAAAACCGGAAGCAAATTGGATCTTTAACCTATGGCCGCACACTTAACATGAATAGTAATAAATGCCAGTTGCAGAACAATTTTGCAGGAATATCTACATTGTCACACATACGCGCACTAGCTGACAGTTATCGGAAAGGTACCACGGAAATACAGCAATTTCATCGGCCTCTTACCACATCCACAGAAAAAGGGGCTCGACA